GCGGGCTTATGTCTGAATACTCGTGCATGGAATAATAGAATAGGATCTCGGTTCTATTTTGTTGGTTTTCTGATCTGAGATAATGGTTAAGAGGGACGGACGGGGGCATTCGTATCGCTGCGTGAGAGGTGAAATTCTTGGACCGTAGCGAGACGTCCGACTGCGAAAGCATTTGCCAAGAATGTCTTCATTAATCAAGAACGAAAGTCAGAGGTTCGAAGGCGATCAGATACCGCCCTAGTTCTGACCGTAAACGATACCAACTAGCGTTCCGTCGGTGGTAAATACGCCTTGACGGGCAGCTTCCCGGAAACGAAAGTCTTTCGGTTCCGGGGGAAGTATGGTTGCAAAGCTGAAACTTAAAGAAATTGACGGAAGGGCACCACCAGGAGTGGAGCCTGCGGCTTAATTTGACTCAACACGGGAAAACTCACCTGGCCCGGACACCGTGAGGATTGACAGATTGAGAGCTCTTTCTTGATTCGGTGGTTGGTGGTGCATGGCCGTTCTTAGTTGGTGGAGTGATTTGTCTGGTTTATTCCGATAACGAGCGAGACTCTAGCCTACTAAATAGTCATCGGATAAACAAGTTCGGAAGACTTCTTAGAGGGACAAGCGGTGTTCAGCCGCATGAAGCTGAGCAATAACAGGTCTGTGATGCCCTTAGATGTCCAGGGCTGCACGCGCGCTACACTGGAGGAATCAGCGTGCTGTAACCATTGCCGAAAGGTATTGGTAACCCCTTGAAAATCCTCCGTGATCGGGATCGGGAATTGCAATTATTTCCCTTGAACGAGGAATTCCTAGTAAGTGTGAGTCATCAGCTCACGTTGATTACGTCCCTGCCCTTTGTACACACCGCCCGTCGCTGCCCGGGACTGAGCCGTTTCGAGAAAAGCGGGGACTGCTGTTTCGAGACCTTTCGGGGTGGAGATTCTTTGGTGGAAACCGCCTTAATCGCAGTGGCTTGAACCGGGCAAAAGTCGTAACAAGGTTTCCGTAGGTGAACCTGCGGAAGGATCATTATCGAGCGAATCCAAAACGAACGAAAAAGTCTCCCAACGTGCATACCTTCCATTTGCATGTTGTTGTGAGCCACATGGAAACTCGTACACACGTGGTGGCAGCCGTCTGCTGTGCTTTTTTTAGGCAGACAATGGCTTACGAGTGGCCGTGTGCTTGTTGAACAACGGTGACCAATTTGGCGTCTACGCCGTATCTAGCTTCTGCCTGGACCGTCAGTTGCGATGAAAGATGCGGAGAAAGTTCCTTTGTTTTGGCTGCTAATCATCATTGATGAGCAGTAGCTTAAGGCAGAGTTGAGCAGACTTAATGAGCCACGCTAGGTGGCCGCCAAAACCCAAAACACAACCGGTCTATTTGACATTGTTATTTCATTGTATGTGTTGAAAATGTACAAATCTTGGCGGTGGATCACTCGGTTCGTGGATCGATGAAGAACGCAGCCAGCTGCGATAAATAGTGCGAATTGCAGACACATTGAGCACTAAGAATTCGAACGCACATTGCGCTATCGGGTTCATTCCCGATGGCACGTCTGGCTGAGGGTCGAATTACGGTGAACTGTCTTCACGGTTTTTCTGGACTGTGAAGCATTCGGCAAGCAATTGCTGTTGTGTTGTTGGTGATTCTATCATGGACAATATGACGAGCGGTTCCTTGCTTAGTGATGACAAAAGAAGACGTCAACACCGAATCTACTATACTACTAATACTAGTATATAGGTGAGGTGCTTTTGGTGGTCACAAAAGTGACAAGTATGCCATTTCATAGGGGCAACAACCAGCATACGTGATAAGTTGGCTGGTTGATGAAACGGCAACGGAATGACGGACGTCTATGTGATCAAAAATGATACTATTTGACCTCAGCTCAGTCGTGATTACCCGCTGAATTTAAGCATATAATTAAGCGGAGGAAAAGAAACTAACGAGGATTCCCATAGTAACGGCGAGTGAAATGGGAAAAGCCCAGCGCTGAATCCATCGATCACTGGTCGCTTGGAATTGTAGCGTATAGGTGCGGCTGTCCGCTCGTTTCGTGCACCCAAAGTCCCCTTGAGCGGGGCCATAGTCCAAAGAAGGTGCTAGACCTGTACGGGTGGCGAGACGGTCGGTTGGTCGCTCCTTGGAGTCGGGTTGCCTGGGATCGCAGCCCAAAGTTGGTGGTAGACCTCATCTAAGGCTAAATATGGCCACGAAACCGATAGCAAACAAGTACCGTGAGGGAAAGTTGCAAAGAACTTTGAAGAGAGAGTTCAAGAGGGCGTGAAACCGCCGAGATTGAAACGGATAGAGTTGACGAAACTCGATCGCATTCATCCGATCCGCCTAGCGGTTCGGCGGTTGTTGACTTCCTCGATGAGGGCAACGCCGTCGCTGGCTGTTGGGTGTTAGATGGGTGTATTTGCGGTCGGTATGCGCCGAGAGCTTTGCGAACGCATGTTGGCGTTGATGTAGTGGACCACTCCCTCCGGGCGTGGAACCCTGCACTGACTGAGGCATGTCGTTTGTAGGGTGTTGCTGGTTGACGTCTCCGCTATGGTGCGTCGGCTTTGTCGGACTGTTGTGGCTACTGGGTGATCGCATGCGAGCGCCTGTGGTTTATGATCGTACGATGAGGTGCAGACGCGCTTGAGACGTGCATCTCGGTGTGAACGTTGACCACCTATCCGACCCGTCTTGAAACACGGACCAAGGAGTCTAGCATATGCGCGAGTCATTGGGTGGTAAACCTAAAGGCGTAATGAAAGTAAAGGCTGTCTTGTTACGGCTGATATGGGATCTGTGTGGCTTTCGAGCCATACGGCGCACCATAGCCCCGTCCCGGTTGCTTGCAATGGGGCGGAGGTAGAGCGCATACGCTGGGACCCGAAAGATGGTGAACTATGCCTGAGCAGGATGAAGCCAGAGGAAACTCTGGTGGAAGTCCGAAGCGGTTCTGACGTGCAAATCGATCGTCTGACTTGGGTATAGGGGCGAAAGACTAATCGAACCATCTAGTAGCTGGTTCCCTCTGAAGTTTCCCCCAGGATAGCTGGAGTTTATTGTTAGCAGTTATATTCGGTAAAGCGAATGACTAGAGGAATTGGGGACGAAACGACCTCAACCTATTCTCAAACTTTCAATGGGTATGAAGTCCCGCTTGCTTGACGTTGCTGAAGCGAGGACATTGAATGTGAGCTCCAAGTGGGCCATTTTTGGTAAGCAGAACTGGCGCTGTGGGATGAACCAAACGTCGGGTTAAAGTGCCAAACTTCCCGCTCATGAGACCCCATGAAAGGCGTTGGTTGATATAGACAGCAGGACGGTGGCCATGGAAGTCGGAAACCGCTAAGGAGTGTGTAACAACTCACCTGCCGAATCAACTAGCCCTGAAAATGGATGGCGCTTGAGCGGGAGACTTATACCCGACCGTTGCTCGGCTTGTGTGTTCCGTAAGGAATTCGCCTGGCCGCAACGAGTAAGAGGGTCGCAGTGGTTTGCGTCGAAGGCTTTGGGCGTAGGCCCGGCTGGAGCTTCCACTGGTGCAGATCTTGGTGGTAGTAGCAAATATTCAAGTGAGATCCTTGAAGACTGAAGTGGAGAAGGGTTCCACGTGAACAGCAGTTGAATGTGGGTCAGTCGGCCCTAAGATACTGGCTAATGCCTTGTGTTATCGAGAGACGGAGTTCAAATCCATCTCGTTTATCGAAAGGGAAACGGGTTAATATTCCCGTACCTGGACACGGAGATAAGCGCTCATTGCGAGTGTTTAGCGCGGCAACGCAAACGAACTCGGTGACGCTGAATAGAGCCCGAGCTAGAGTTCTCTTTTCTAGTTAAGGAACGGACTCCCTGGAATCG